AATCCAAAACTTCACAGACTGAAACCTGTGCAGAAACCAGCAGCTGGCATCACATGCCATCCCTCCTTGGCTTCCTATCTTGAATCCAGCCTCACCTCCTTCCAACCCTGGGTTCTCTGCTAACTTACAGGGCAGAGCCAAGGACATGAGCCAGGTTGGCACAGAACCTGGGCAGGTGAGGTCTGTAAGCCAAGTCTTTGATCTGACCACTCCCAAACCACAGTCAGGAAAGAGCTCGCTTTGGGTCGCTGTGATTTTTGGCCATCAATACCCGGCTCAGCAACAAATCCCTATACAGGGCAGCCCAGGCTGGCAATGAAGACACATTCAGGACCTTTAACCTCAGCCTTTCAGAAAGCAACATTTCTAGTTCAAGTGCCACCTCTTCCAGGAAGTCTTCCTGTATTCTATTAGTAGCAACTACTCTTCACCTGCTGTCCCGTACTATCACATTTGTACTTATATTCCTGAATAGCCCTCACTTCACCCTGCCTCGCACATGTCTGTCTCCCTAGTAACTGACAGATCCCAAAGGACACACACTCCACCCTGTTCCTCACCGTACCTCCCCTTGTTGCCGGGCACAGAGACGTGCTCAGGGTAAGAATCAGCCGAACTGCCTTTATAAATCCCAGGGGAGGATCAAGAAGGAGGTGGCGGGGCTCAGGAAATAATTAACCACATGTTGATCAACATTTTTTCCTCTCCCTTCCCTCCCCCGAACCAGCTGTGGCCGGTCCTTCCTGAGCCCGGCCCGCCCGGCCTGCTGAGAGGCCCCTAAGAAGGAATGCGGCTCCTCCTGCCTCCCTCCTGCAGCGATTTGGGTGGGTCACATTTCAGGCAGGTAGAAGTGGGGCTCAGAGGCCGAGAGGGACGGATCGAATCACGCAACCTTCTAATGGCCAGCCGTCCTGGAGAACTCGGGCAAGGACCAGGACCCCTGCCTTGCAGGAGGAGGAGGGAAAGCCAGTTTCTGGGGTGCCAGGGTTCTGGGTGGGCTCTCCACGTGAGGGCTGGAGAGGGCCGGGCGTTTAAGATGGCAGACATGTGCAGCGAGGTGGGGGCACAGTGCCACTCCTGCTGTCCACAGATGATGCCCGAAGGCTCTTGAGATGGTATGACCCATAGATACCGCTGTCAGGGCACCGAAGCAGCGAGATATTTCTAAGAGGGCAGCAGAGCTGCCACGGGGATGGGTTTCAC